GATGCTAAGGGGACTCCAAACCATTGCAATGAAAACACACTACCAACATTTTCTAAGAAATGCTGCTTCTAATGAAGTCAATGGTAATTCTACAATTGGCTATATTTTGAGAAGGACTGACTTATTTCCTGGGAAGAATCACTTTACTTTTTGTGAGACAGTTACAAAAATAATAAACTCCTCCACTGGTCTCTAGCAACTGATGCATTTTTTTTTTCCTGTGATACAATATTAAGCAGAGAACAACAAACCTGCTTAGAAAGTGTTCCTTTGCCTATCCCCGAAAAAGCAAACAAAACCACACCTCCTCCAAGCAAATGTTAGAAGAGGTTTGGGTATGCTTATCCTTTTTATTTTTTAGTGCATTACCCCTTTCCATTTTGCTTTCCAAAATACCACGGGTAATACGGTTATTGCAATGTTTCTAGCTCAGCCTAAGGCATAAGTGTGAAATCTTACAGAAAAGCTTTCTACTATAAAATGCTAAACTCTGTTTTCAACCCTAAGTACCTGAGACAAAGAAAGATTTTCCAGTGCAAATACATAAAATACTCATGCTTGCTTTATATACTTTATGAAAACTCATCTTTTACTACAAGAGATGGTAACTTGCACTGCCAAAAATATTTTTTACACTGAAGTTTGATAAAAAGAGCCAAGTCAGCACTTCCTTCTAATTCCCTACAACAAGGTCAGCAGCCTGTAGCACGTGTACAGCCTCAGCCTTTAGCATACAGCATTGCCACAAAGGTTGCATGGGCTCAGGAGCCAAGACCAGATGAAATCTGAAAATGGCAACAGGTTCCAGGTTGTAATTCCTACTTTCCACCAGCTTCCCTGATGACCAATTAATAAGTAGTGTCTTGCCCCTTAGAAGGCATGTTCATACCTTAGTATAGGTTCCATGCCTTGGCTTTGGCACAGTGAACACAGTGATCCACCACTGCAGAGCTGGCTGCTCAGTATATGTTGCAGCCACTGAACTGTGACATTTTCCCTGGTTTTCCTCCTCTGCTCTGGCAAAGTAGATGATGGAGACATCTCTTCCTTTAATTGTTCTTGAGCTGTAACTTGCCTTGCATCCCCTTCAACTTGTACAATACAAGTAAACCAGCTCACTCTATCAAGTACTCATTATATAAACTCTTCAAGACTCCTGCTACTCCTAGGTAAGGATTCAGTTTGGGTTCAAGCCTACATTTAACTACAGGTAGTTCAGATGTAGTCTGAAGAGCAATGCTTTTCAAGCCTTGCTGAAATAATACTGGGACAGGTGACCTCTAAGTTGACAAAAAGAAAATCTGGCATAATATCACTGAGAGGCTGGCCTTAGTCTAAAAGATATGAGTGATAGTTTACAGTATAGTCTGCGCACTGTCAATTATTGTTCTGGTAAACTCAGTGCTAACTAGCTGAATGAAAATAGCTACACAGTTCTTTGATGAGATGATTCAAAGAAGTGCCTCAGCCTAAGGAGCATACAGACCCAACAAGTAAGTTAGCAATGCATTTTGAAACCTAATTCTTCCTCACAACCCACCCAAAATCAGAGACACACAGTCAATTTTTTCTCTGTCTTAGACCAGAAGTTCTCTATTTAGTTGGCACAACTCTGCAGGGTGTGTTCATAATTTGTTCCCAGAGTGTCACCAGCCAAAGGATATTTAGTTTGCAACCCTCAATGTTAGACAAGGACGTACTATGACTTCAAACTCTCCCTCCTGCTAACTCGCAGAACAGTACTGAGTAGGGGCTAGGGTGTCGTGGCTCTTCAAAGGTGTAGCCACAACAACCTGCCAGCACTGCATTTCACCTTTCAAGAACAATTATAACTTTAAGTGAAATTACTCTGAGCCATACAATCAGGCAGGCCATCCCACAGCCTCAAAAATGTAAATTTCTTCTTGAAAAAAAGGCATCAATATTTTCACACACATGCCAAGAAATAACTGTATGTATCAAAACCTGAATTACTGAGATGCATTGCTTTGGCATTTATCCTACATTCTTCTGAAAAAAACCCTCTACAGCTATACATACACAGTTAAGCTTTCCCTCTCTCTCTCTCTTTTTTTTTTTTCCCTAAAGCTACTGACACCAGAACTAGTAAGAATAGAGGTTATTCTACAACAATGAAGGAAGATCAGGGAATAATTAGAAATAACTGAATTTTGAAGTCAGAAACTTTTATGATATTTGCATCAAAAGAGGCCAAACAGGAATGCAGTTAAGGATTGCCAATATTTCTGCCACTGTTTTGGGGATAATGCTGTACTGAGGGCGAAATAACTGTCAGCTATTATTCTGAGAAGCTGAAAGGACCAATGCTATCTCTCTGTTTTTAAATACTAGAGAGGTATTCAAATAGAACACTAAAGAGCTTAAAGTTGTACAGAAAAAAAAGGTATTTTCTTTGCACACAGCATGGTATCAGTAATAGCCATTAAAAAAAACCAACAAACCCAAAACAAAACAAAAAAAACCCCACAAAAACTCCTGTATGATTTGAAGTTCAATCAAACTGTACTGAACCTTAAAACAGAAAGAGCATTCACTGATGTATGTAAAGGTAAATGGTTTGTACAATGTAACACTGGTAATTTTTTTTTTCACTATTTTCAAACCCAGCTGTAAAGAAAATAATTGCCCTTTGATATCAGCCTCCACAGCACGATGGATGGCACCAATTCTGTTCATGCTAACTATTTATGTCCACCACTACCGTGTCCTATAACTAAGTTATAAAAAAAATGGAAATATGAACATATTCCACCAATAAATACAGAAAGTGAATGAAAACCTAGCTTTCTCTGTGCACTATGGTAACAGCAGTTCTAACTGATACTTACAACTAAGACAGAAACAAAATAATACCAAGTAATAAAAATTAAATAACAAATAAGAAAATTATTCACTGACATAGTAAGTGAATTTTTGTTTTCCACTTACCATTTCAGGTTAAAAACAATCCCTTCATGAAGCTGAAACTCATAAAAAAACTTACAAGTAATGAAGGGTTTTTTTCCCCCATAATTTATACCTGCTATCTTTTCTTCAACACAACTATTAGCTCAGGACAGCATACCTGAGACAGGCAAACTTTCAGCAAGTCAGCTTTTCAGCACGTAAGTGATATCAGCCACATTGTGACACTTTCACAGTTTGCAGCCCCAAATATTGCTTTCAGCCTTTTAAGCTTGAACTGTGGTGGCTGAAGAGCAAATGTAGGTCAGCTGCTGTTGCGACTGCTACATCATGGTAAGTTCCAGCTGAGGTGAACTGCTGAACACTTCTTAAATGGTGTCAACTAGAGCTGTCAGGAGATCATAAGCCAGAGCCCCAAGCAATTTGATTAGAATCAGAGAGTAACTGGATTAGTGGAACTACTGAATTAGTATTTGATGAGCTGTATAATTTGTAGGTTATGTTCACAGCACCACTAGCTCTAACACCTGCAACATGAATTCATGTGCCTTGCTTCAAACAAACAAGATATTTGCGCAAAGGCTTGTGTTGATAATTGGTGAAAAAAACCCACCAAAAACTACCTTGCCAGCTCCACAGGCATGCCCTCATTTTTTTTCTCTCATTTTAACCAATTTTAACAGTCAAAGTTGGGAGCTATTATCTCCTAGAGGCAAGACACAACCAGTCAGACAATTGGGGGTATTTTGTCTCTGTAAGAGGTGAAAGAGTTGGAGAGCCCAGCACACAACAAACGCTGGGTTCAGTGAGAGAAAGAGCCCCCACCTTTCACAGGGGCAGAAATTTCACAGTCGGCATCGCTTTGACTCTCTGGGAGTGTGTTGTCACATACCAGTTTGTAACACTGAAAAATATCATGCATTGAAGGAAGGCAAAATGCTCTCCTCAAGCAGCTGCAGGAAGCAAGCACACCAAGATAAGTGATAGCTACTACTTTTTGAATATCGAAGTGTTGGCAGCATGCTTCTGTCAGGGTGGTCATGAGTGCAAAACTTCTCTGTTATACTCTTGGAAGCTACAGAAGTGCCTCCTCAGGTTTTAGCCATACTCCAGACAAATCTGAAAATTCCTTCCAGTCATGGACTGGCTAGACTTCTTGCCTAGAATTACAGTGAATTAAATAAAGAAGCACAATTTTTGGCTTTCATAATAAACATGAAGTGCCAAAAGTGTTTTTCAACTGTTCCTTTTTTAAATGAAATTTTCTGCTTCTAAATTTAAGTAAAAAAATCTTAGGTTCCAAACTCACGAGTCCATTGGAGAAATTTTTGTATTTGTAATAATAACAAGCCAACCATAGTGAAATAAGCTCAGCCATGAAACATGATTGCAGTTAGAGCTTAATCTGCCTCCATCCCTACAATTATTCCAAAGGAGAAAGACAGAGTAAGATATTTTACTATTTATAGTAAAAGAAAATGATAGATATGAGTGTTTAGTAAATAGTAGGCAATAGAGAAAATACAGTAACTTGGAGTTATGTCTTTACTAATATCTAGTAATTCACAGGTGGCATGTTACATCTGTGTGCTTCATTTTATTTGACATGTTCACAATCCTTTTTTAAGTCAGTCACAAATCCAAACACAGTTAGCAGACAGCGTATTTAAAATCAGATTAATAAAACTATTACTGTGTGAAACAGCATTTCACCTGTTAAATTTTTCTAATACAAAATCAGCTTCTCAAATCAACAGAGAAAGAAAAACAATAAATAATGAAACTATAAAAAATAATTGAGATGCTATCAAAGCTATAAATACAACAAACATTTCCGATTATATCATCATGCACTCTACATGTTTTTCCTTTTTTTTTTTTACCTTCAGAAAACCTCTCCCGATATCTGCAGTTCCTAATCATTTATTCTATAAATACAGCTTAGTTGACTAAGGCTGAAATGTGCTAAGATGCAGTAACGTTTCAAATTCATACATGAAACAATTTGGAAGCTTCCCCCAGGCATTTGTGGCTGCGGCTCCCGCTGCTCTGCTCTCCACCATCCCCCCATTTACCTGCTCGCTGGGCTGCCTCAGCCCTGGTCAGGAAGTGGTAAAGCTGATCCAGCTTATCAGGCTGCTCCTCCAGGGACGTGTGCTGCCATATGGCTGTCCCAGGCCCTGCAGCCTCCCTGAAGGCATTCCACTTCTGTATCAGAGCGAAGAGCTCGGAGAAGGACTTGTGATAACCCTGTCGCAGCATGTCTATGCAGATGTTCTTCTTGTATGAATTCCTGGTCCTGGGAATAAGAAAGACGGATTTTAAGCCTTTAAACTTGTATTCTGTTCTCCACCTCACCAAATAAGCACCAGTAACTAAAACAGCTTTGAAGAAGAGACCTCTGCAGTTCAGTAGTGGGGAAGGGGTATTTTTCCACAACTCAAAAAGCATTCTACTAAAATACAAATGTCATCCCCTAGGGAAGTGAATACGGCAATAATGAATAAATACTATATGTATATATATATATGTATATATATGTATATATATATATAACATGTTAAAAACATACTGGTATTCTTTAGCTGGTACTGGGGAAAAAGGATAACTGACGGGAAAATATCCCCATGTTTACCTTAGTTCATGAAAACACAATGAACTCTTAGTTTGCTTTAAAACAGTGCACAGGGAAAAATGAGGCACATTCCACATGTCAAAACAATGTATATGTTAAATAGTTTTGCTGTAGGACATGATGGCTTGGTTTAAAATGTCAAACAAATGCTATGCCAGAAACATAATCATTAGATATTATTTTGCTTCTGTTTAGCATATAACTTCAGCTGGGGCTGGTTTACTAAAGAAAAAGTTTGATAATTTCTCCCTAGTCTTAAAATAAAATGATGTAATTATGAATTTATATAAGAAATATCTCATTCATAAACTCTGATAAGATATACATATCAAAAAGTTGTGTAACCGAATATTCTCAGGAGATAATATATCTTTTTAGGTATTATTTATGGAAATAATAATTAAAAAATTCTTTTCTGTGGCATGAAACAATCATCGTTTCCTACCTTGGAGAAAACTACAGGTCTAATGGGACTGCCTGCAACACTAAAGTATAGATGTCAAGGTTTGCAGGCATAGGTACCTAGTGTGAGAAAACAAACCTTTGTGCCAGTAAAATGGCAAGGACCTAGATGTGTTAAAATTATTTTCTTATTACATTAAGCTTCCAAGCAGTTTTCAAGACAGTCTTTTTAGATTAAAATCCATTTAACCTCACATTCCCAGAAGCTTTAAAATAAATATGGAATTCTGAAAACTGAGATTTATAGTGTATGTAATAAATTCAGATGACTTCATGCTAAACAGTAGCCTAATGAGACTAATACATCCAGCCTAAAAGGAGCTCCTGTAGTTCTGTGACAACACTAATAAGACGGAAGTGACGTGAAGAACTTTGTAGCTACACATCAGTGAAATAAACAAGAATGTGACATGTAAGAAGTAAATAATCTGCGGCATTTCATGTTTAATATTATTAAAATAAAATCTAGTAATTACTACATAGATGCGTAAGTACCCTTCATACGTATTTTTTTTTACTTTTCAGTTGCAGAACCGAACACAAAACTATTACAAAATCCTGATACAATTTAGACTAGACAGTACCAAACTTATGTTTAATATATAAATAGATAATTTTGGAGATTGAAAAGCACACATCATTCACACAGACAAGTGAAACATACAAGTATTCTACACTAGAAAACATTTGCAGCATTCATCTTAGAAAAGTAAATGACAAATATCTTTAAACAGTTAAATATTAATTTACCAGAATGTACTATACTTGTCATACTACAGATGCACAGTATATCCCTAAAAAATATTGTGAAGATATGTTAATGATGTACAATATATTCTCTACTCTGTATAAGGAATGATTTCTTCTCTCTGTTTTAAAATTCTATCTAACTAAAAAAAATTGAAGAATATAGGTAAAAAATTCCTACCAACTTCCAAAGGCCTAGGACTGAATCATACAGTAATATAACTTAGAGCAGTGGAATAACATTCTGCATAGCAGACACACGTACCTGCGTATTTATTTATGTAACGTGACCAACACACGTGTGTGTGTGCATCAGATCATTAGATATATATAGTAGCAAACAAGAAAGTGCTGCTAAAAAATCTCAGTGACTAAACAAAATGCTATTCAGTTAGTTTTTAACACTCACTGCATACTCACTGAGCACAGTACCAATATTTGTATAAATAGAAAAACCGTGTCCACGTTATTTCCTGTAGAGTGATGCATTTTACTTGAAGTCAAAGCACATTTCCCCCACCAGACAGCACTATTAGCAAACCAATACAGGCAAACAAATCCTACAGTCAATTAGGTCAGTTTTAAAAATGAGTATAAACATTTTTTTAATAAAACCCATCCCAAATAACAAAGATATTGGAATAATGCTGAAGTAATCACACAGTGCAGAGCACATTTTCTTCTTAGGAAAGATAAGTGATATTCACTCAGCAGCAATGAAGCTATCTGCTGTACAACCTCTCAGATTCTAGAGGCATGAAGGTAAGTTACCTCTCAGTTATGCTTAAAACCAGAAAACACACAGAGTGCAAAAATAATAATGCTCTTGTTTCTTTAAGTTTTCACAAAAGATAAGCTACCATTGACCACAAACAATAAAGTAGGGCTAGAACTGAATGTTATGGGGATGAATGGTGTTTGTGACACCTAAAAGAACGTGACACAGCAACGAGTTCTGAAATAGTTTCTTTTATAAAAATGATTCCAGATGAAGATGCCAGTGCCCCTTTTTCCAACAAACCGTGCTCGCAAACAGAGGAGTAGTGTAGGTAACAGCAGCAAACTTTTAATGATATCTTGAGATAAAATAGAAATCCTTAGTCCTCAAAATCCTTTTCATGTTGCTTTTTATGATGCTAGGCAGTATGTAAAATGAGAGGTTAAACAGAACATTTTGTGTTTTATATAACCAATTATTACTTTATTTGTAATATCAATTAAAAAAATATACACCTAATTAAATGTACAGGATTTATTTTATAAAATCCTACAGTTAACAGCATGTTTTTACTACATTAATAAACTAGCTTACACTAAACCTTTTTGAACCTTAATGTCTAATAAATTCCAATACATCATTAAACAAGTAAGTTTGTTTTTCTGCATTGCATCCACACGGATTTTAGGTTTTCTTTGAACAATTACATTACTCCAAGAAGCAAAATGAAAAAAGACTGGCCTTTCATTTAGTTGGCGCCGTGCAGGAGGTTTAATGGTCTCTGGGGGCATCTACTGGAAAGCTCGAAAACTGCAGCCAGGACAAGTTAATCGTGCAGTTGTCAACGCAGCCGGGCAGGGCTGCAGAACAAAGGCAGGCCCCGGCGGGGACGAAGCGCCGGGAGTGCAGAGCAGCCGGCAACGCGCAGGAGAGCGGGGATTGCGCGGCCGCGCTGCTGCCTCTGCCTGGCGCGACCGGCTGCCCAGAAGTACCGCGCCCCAAGCGCGCCAGCGCTGCCGGCACCGCTGCCTGCCGGCAGTTAAACGAGTCGAATCGGAGTGAGCAGACGGCTTTGTAATGTTAGCTGTGTTTAATTTTAAAATTGAACCGTGAGGAGAATACAAACCCGAAGGCCTCTTTCTCCTTTGAATGATCCTATGTACGTGCTGGGAGAAAAAGGTTTCAGAGGGATTTTAAAAAACAATTTTTAAAATGAAATCTGTAGTATACCTATGTATCTATAATTAAAAGAAAGATACCGAATGATCTATTTTTAATTTAAAGAACGTTTGGGGTTTTTTTGTTAGTTTTTAATCCATGAAATCCAACAGATGAAACCCATCATACTTAACACAAACAGATGCTGCTGTGGATCCACCGTCCTCTGACCTTACTCTCCCCTCTGTCATTACTGAAACCCTGTTGATGTTGCTGCATGTTTATTTACACAGGTTGGGTAAAACATTTGAAATTAGGTCCACTTAGTCAATCTGCTTGGGTGTCGTGCATTTCCCTGCCCCAGCAGTGTGCGATGGGTGCTGCAGCAGTTCGTGCGTGAGGGGCTGAGAAACGCTGTGCACTTCTGTGTGTTTGTCGGGGGGGCGGTTCAGAATAATGTTTAGCACCAAATAAATAACCACCAGAAGTTAAAGTTGCCATTTTAGTGGTATCATATTAATGATGATGATTTAATGTAGTATAATATGACACGGGTGGAAGCAGCTATTTATGAAATGTGAATCTGCGAGCTCGGAAAGGCGCTGCTATTGTCAACACTGCGCTTTAAGTGTACCTGGGTATTGCTGCAGGCATTTTACTTTTCTTGAGCTATACAGCTACTTATGTAATTTTCTTATATGCATTTCTTGTATTATCATCATTGCTATTTTAATACAATCTAGTGCCATGCTGAGGAATCACAAAAACTTGATTCTAATCTTTCTTCACCAGCGCAAGAATCACCTTCGGTGAAGCTAAAGAAATGACACTACTGTTGCAATCTCAAGGATCTTCCAATGTACTGTACTTTTACAAGATTCTTAAGCAATGCTAGGAGATCAGGACAGTACAATACTACATTCCTTTAATGTAAAATCCTGCACAATAAGGCTATGTACATTCTACCCTTTACACCAGAAGATAGAAAAAAGAAATGTAGAGCCCAAGAGGCAGGTACTAGTGTTAGAAATTATCCAAATAGTCAGTACAGCATAACAGAATTATTCTCCCTGCTTCCTGTTTAGTGTGATAAATCACAGGCATGAAAACAAGTGCAAAAATCTAGAATTTTAAGATGGCAGATTTTGTTTTGGCTTGCTTTCATTATCAGGATTCATATCTTTAGATTTTGTAGGATTTAATTAGTAGTTCAGGTTAATGCCAGCTTCTGATTACAATAGAAGTGCACTGTAGCAATACCATTTTGTAAAGCACAAATGGCATGGATTGAACAACGATAGTATATAAAATATTAAAGAGTACTTCCAGTGTAAAATAATTACTCTACCAATTATTATAATGTTTAAAAACTGTATTCAAATAGGTTTTGTTCACTTGGGATTTCCTTCTGCAGTTGGCAAGTCAATGACTGATACAAATGCCTTGGAAAAGGATCACAAAATTATTAAAAAATAATGAAGATATTTTTGCTTAAGTTTTTTTAAGCAAATACATTTTATTCTCCCCGATTTCCTGTCTATAAATCAACAAGAAAATTAAAATTACATCAAGCATGTAA